TTTGGCCTAGGGAATTTTAGTGGGGTTTTTAAGGGTAATTTTAAGGGTAATTTTAACGATTGGCCTTTACGAATATATTCTTTTAATTTGGTTTTAATATGGATATTTATTGTAATGTTGTTTTATAAGGCTGTTAGCCGCCCTGAGTCCGATGAGGAGAAGGGCGGGATACAAATTAAATTATAAATAAATAAATAAATAAATGGGTACAGGTATGCAGGTCTTGGCGTATTCGGGTCTTTTCCTGTGTAAGATTGAGAGTATCTTGGCGACGTTTCGATGAGGTCCCACTTGTCATCTTCAGGCTGGGGTCTTCGGCTTCGTGCTTGTGTGAGCAAAGTGTGATCGGAACTGCCATCTCTCTATAAATATTGGTGGGGGTGTGTGGAGTGCTGGCTTTGTTGCTATAGGTGGGTTGGTTGGCTGTGTTGGAGTTATTGTTGCGGATTGTTCGGCTGTTTCGTAACATCCTGAGTAGCTGAGGTGCTGGCTGTGTGCCCATTAGTCTTTTGGGTAATGGGCTATGTGATGACATCCTGAGATCTAGTGTAGTGATATCCTGAGTTCTGTGTTGCAACATCCTGGGTGGTTGGCTGTGTTGTAACATCCTGAGCTTTAGCGTTGTAACCTCCTGAGTTCTGTGATGTGTCCAGAGCAGAAGGCTGTGATGTAACATACCGGGCTTTGGTTTGGCTCCGAGTTTGCGGTCTAGCTCTGTGATCATGGCGTGTGTCCATTTGCTTTGTGTGGGGGTCGGAGGGAGGTGCAGCAGCTGGTGATGTCATCGTGGTTTGGCTTCTGGATGGTGGTTGCATTTCATCTGAGGGATGGGTTTGGGCTTGGGTTTGGGTCTGGTGAGGATGAATGGTGGTGGCGTCCTGTGTTGTTCTGGGTCCAGTGTCGGTTTTTGTGACTGGGACTCGTTTGTTGATTAGGGCTAGTTTCCAGATGTCTGGTAGGCGGGAGGTATCGTCACGTTTATTCATGTTGTGGGGGTGTTTTTCTATTTTGATGGCTTCCATAATTATTCTCTTGTTGTGGTGTTCAGTTTTGGAGATTAGTTTGGTTCCTTCAAAATCAATTTCATGTCCTGTAGCTTTAAGGTGCTGGAAGAGGGAGGAAGTTTTTTCTTCTTTTCTGACTGCGTTCTTGTGTTCTGCAATGTGTGCATTTATTCTCCTATTAGTTTGTCCAATGTATGTGGCTGGGCAGATTTTGCATGGTATTTCATAGACTCCTTGGTTTTCTAGCTGGATCATGTCTTTGGGATTTCTTAAGATGTTGGCTATTTTTTGGTTGGTGCCGAAGGCTGTCTTGATATTGTGTTTGTGGAGAATTTTGCTGATTTTATCTGTGGTGCCTTTGATGTAGGGGAGGAGGGCAATGTCATTGTACTGTTCTATGTCTCGGTTCTTGGGGGGTGTTTCCCTTTGGATTAGGTTGGTAACTGTATTTCTTTGGAATCCGTTGGAGATTAATACGTTTGTGAGAGTGTGTAATTCAGTTTTCAGGTGGTCTTTGTCGGCTAGACGTTTGGTTCTGGAGATGAGGGTCTTGGCTACGGAGTTGATCTGTGCAGGGTGGTGATGGATTGTGCGTTTAAGTAGCGGTTGGTGTGTGTTTTTTTCCGATAGATGGTGTAGCCTAGGGAGCCATTGGGTTTTTTGTAGATTAGGACATCCAGAAAGGGGAGTTGGTTGTTAGCTTCTATTTCCATCGTGAATTGTATTTTGGGGTGTAGGCTGTTGAGATGTGTGAGGAAGTTGTCCAGTTTTTCTTTCCCATGTGGCCAAATTACAAAAGTGTCATCTACATATCTAAGCCAGAGTTTGGGTTTGTGTTCAGATTTGTCTAAAGCATTGGTTTCGAAGTTTTCCATGTATAGGTTTGCGATGACGGGTGAGAGGGGTGATCCCATAGGTGCTCCTTCTATCTGTTTGTATCTTTGTCCATTGTGGATGAAGTATATGTTGGTGAGGCAGTGGTTGGTGAGATCTAGGATGTGCTTAGTGGGGTTGTATTTGTTTTGGATAGCTGTCAAGGCTTCTTTGATAGGCACTTGGGTGAAGAGGGATGTGACATCGAAGCTCACGAGTAGGTCGCTGGGTTGTAGGTTTTGTTTCTTTATTGTTTCTATGAAGTGGAGTGAGTTTTGTACGTGTGAGGAGATGGATTCTGTGTAGGGATGAAGTTGTTTGGCGAGAAATTTGGCAAGATTCTGTAGAGGGACCTCGTTGAAACGTCGCCAAGATACTCTCAATCTTACACGGGAAAAGACCCGAATAAGCCAAGACCATATATTCTGAGGTTTTCGCGGGTGTTTGTATGTAGGTCTTTGGTTATTCGGGTTTTCTCCCGTGTAAAATTGGAAGTGTCTTGGCGACGTTTTGACGAAGTCCCATTCATCATCTTCAGGCTGGTGTCTTCAGCTTCGTGCTTCTAGGAGTAGTGTGTGATCGCAGCTGTTTCTTCCTTTTAACTGCCAGTGGGGTTAAAGCTTGGGTGGGAGCTTGGCTGTGTTCTGATTGGGTGGAGGTGTGTTCTGATTGGTTAAGGAGCTTGGCTGTGCTCTGATTGGTTGGGGGATTGGCTGTGCTCTGATTGGCTGGGGGAGTGTTCTGTTTGGGTGGGGGCTTTGTTGTGCTCAGGTTAGTCTGAGTTGCAGGGGGATTTGAGATGGTGAGCTTCATTGCTGTTGTTTGGCTTCGTGTTTGTGGTCACACCACATCTTTATGGTGGGTGTCAGTTTGCTTCATGTATGGATTGGAGGGGTTTAAAGTGGCTAATGATGCAGCTGTGGACTGGCTTCTAGTTTGTGGTCATGCCTCATCATCTGTGTGGGTTTGGGTTTGCTTTTTGCGTGGATGTGTGGTGGTGACCTCCTGTGTGGTTTTCGTGAGTGTGGGTCTGGTGTCATTCTTTGTGTTAGGGACTTGTTTGCCAATAAGGGCGGGTTTCCAAATGGCTGGTAGGCGGGAGGTATCATCTCGTTTATTCATGCTGTGTGAGCGTTTTTCTATCTTGATGGCTTCTCTGATTATTCTGTTGTTAAAGTGTTCCATTTTGGCAATAGTTCTGGTCTTTTTAAAGTCAATTTTATGTCCTGTGGCTTTAAGGTGTTGGACCAGGGAAGAAGTTGGTTCCTCTTTTCTGACTGAGTTCTTGTGTTCTTCAATGCGTGCATTTATTCTTCTGTTGGTTTGTCCGACACCACATACATAGGGAACACCTATCATTGGATTCCAAGCTCTCCCTTCCCCTCTTGCAACTGTAGGCAAGCTAGAAGCAATATGGCAGTCTTAATAAAATAAATCTTCATAGCTTGACATTATTAACATTGATTTTTCTTGTGTAATTTTATCCAAGGGGAAATATAGCCAGATTTGTCAATCTATCTTCATTCATCGTTGATTAAAGTCATTTTATTACTGTATTAATTTTTATTAATTTCAATATTGAAAAGCTTCTTTCACATGAATCAACAGTATACAAGTTAGGAAAAGTCTTATAGTCCCTCTTTAGTCATGAAAAACCAGCTGGTGACTTTTGGCCAGTCACAGTTTCTTTCAGCCCAACTCACCTCATGGGGTTGTTATGGAGAAAATAGGAGAAGGAAGGAGTATTAGATATTTTTGCTGCATTGAGTTATTTATAAAAAATAAGAAAGACAGAATAAAAATAAGTAATAGATGGATGGATGGATCGATAGATAGATAGATAAGCTTGGTAGAAATTAATTAAAAATTCATTTCATAATGAATCCCTGAAATTACAATACTGTACATGTCTTTGTTTCTTTGGGATAGATTCTAGTGACTTTTAAATGACTCCACAGATGTAAATTTTCCTCTAAAATATCTTTACAGGAAAATGTATTATAAATTTCTATTAGATTTGATAACATTATCTAAAGTTTTGGGGTTTTTTGCAAAAATGGATGAATAGTGAATCATAGTGAACACTGCCATTATTTAATCTATTTCTTTAGAATAAGTGCCTAACTTTTGGTCAAACAGGCAAGGCATTCAGACATTGTCCTTTTGATTTCTTTTGGCATCGCATGACTAGCATCTTTTACACTTTCTCCTGGCCTCTCCATTAAAATTTAATTATTTTTTCTGTATTAATTACCATTTTCTTACATGTTATAGTTTGATAATAAATAGCCTTCTCCACAATTTGTGTGCACCAAGGAACAATTTTAAAACTTTCACTGCATGTTGTTCAAGGCTGATTCTGCTATTTGCAAATATTGTATCTTTGTGTCAGATTAACTTTTTCCAAAACTTCACATCAGAAAAATAGATAACCCAGAAACATTATTTTAGTTTTGAATGAACTATCCCAATTCTCAACAGTTTTTCTCCATTTCATAAGTATTTCTAAAACCATTAAGTTGCCAAGCGTCAACTTCACTTTTGTTATTTTACCTTTCTCAATGACAAAAAAGGACCATCTTTATTTTGAAGAACATCACTTCCTTTCTTAACCAGATTAACTCTCAAGTTGTCTGGCCAAACAGTCTTGGCCAAACAGTGATGTACAATAAATTAAAACATCATTCATTTTCTCTTCTAATATTACATTTCTCCTCTCCATTAGAATTGCTTATGGACTATCTTTCAGACCTGTCAAATCTTTTGTTGCTTCTAGTGTAGGTGCTTTGAATGTAGTATTTCTTCAGATTTTTTTGTTAACTATACATGATGTTGAAGGCATTACACATTTCACAATACAGCCAGACATTGCTTCAATTATCTCATCTGTCAATCTTATTTCATCTTGGTATCATACCTCACTCATTATTCATTATTCAGCTCATTATTCAAATCTTTATTTCTCTCAGATATTGCATGAAAGTCACAGTTATTAATATTTACTGATAGTGTATATTTGGTCTTTAGATTGTTTACTGCCATAATCAGCAAAGACTTCTGGCAGTGACCGAAGTAAATAAAGGCAGCAAGAAAAATCAGCCAAGAAAACCACAGATACTTTACCTGCCCCAGAGTACACTCCATGCCACCAAGGAAATCTGCTTCTTTCAGCCCATTGTGATTGCTGCTGATATCATGGACTTCAAATCGTAGCCTCTGAACTTCTTCAAAATAAAAATCCACTGTGAATAGCTTTGAGAAGACAGGGTTTATGCAAGTTCTTATGACTTCTGTCCGATCAACCTGTCAATCAAGAGAGTCAGTTATTAGGTTTTGTTAAAGTCATCTAAAACAGATTTGAAATGTAGAACACTTGTGACAAATTATTTTTAACATCATTTCCGTTGAAAACAAAACTTTCTTTAAAAAAATAAGAAATTTTAAAGGATAAGAATCATTCTAATAAGACACATAGACTAAAGAAACAGTTTTGGTAGGTAGTTTAAGAGGGACAGAACAAACTGTATCAACTATAGCAACCATTAATATCTCTCTAGCTAAGTTAATAACATCACATGAGCTTCTATTTCTAATACAGGGTAGATTAGGAATGAACTTGTATTTATTGTTACACGTTCTGACAGAGAGAAGAGCAAACAAATCCAGTCTGGGTCTATAACAGTTTTATGTTTTCCCTTCATGACTGGTTTCTGTCCATAGCCATGAATAACCTAGGTTGGATTTATACCTGCTCAAGAAGGAATATGAGAGCGTGAAACAGAATATGGTGGCTCTCACTCAGTGATTTGCATCTGTAGAAATTCCAGAGATTATAGAAACCAAATACAATAGCTCTCCTTGGCCTGAAACTAGAGTTATAAGCCATCTGGCAAAATAAGAACATGTCCCCCTTTATGTCCTTAGGTTCTCCATCTGTGCAGGTATAGCCTTAAAATCAAATATTGTTCGGGTTTTTAACAATAAGGTATCTCTCTACTGCACAGTATTTTCCTAATAAGTGCTGATGGAAAATTAACAAGCTTTCTCCGTGACTTTAATTACTTGATTGGTACTCTTTTGGTTTGTACTGCTGCCTGAAATTGACAAGACCTTAATCATATACATGCTGAAGGCTTTTGCTTCCTAATCAGCAAATACCTGCAATTGAAAAACCAGTCTTTCTGATGCTGAAAAAAATAATTTCATATACATGTAAGCCAAAGTACTTTTTTTGCACCATTTCCCTGTAATTTTTTTCATGAATGTTAAATAATATATTTCTCTCCCCCCCTTCTTTCCAATTGTCAGTGTCTTGTTCAGATATCTGATAATCTTACCAGAGACCTCTGAAAAGGCAATCTGAATTAAGTTTTTCTGCTAGTTATAAATTTGGATTGTCTAATAACTTTAGTAATGTGAAAATAAAAATATGGTCCCAATGAACACATTTTCTAGTACTGATAGTGCAAACCTATGTATTCCACTATATTCAATGGGCCTTATTTCCTATGAAGAATAGTCAGCACTGCAGTTCCAATGACATGTAAAGCATTTTTACTTATTGAAATATGTAGTTATGCATTGTCAGCTCCTAAGTATTGATTACATTCAGGAAGCCTATGAAAGAAAATATTGCCACTGCAAAAGGAAACAAAGTAATATTATTTATAGGACAAGGGGAAATTAGTATGAAAAAATATTGGAAGAAAAAAATAACCTATGAATTTGCAATACAAACATAAAGCAATTTACACTTCACTCCAAAGGCCAAGACTATGTTTTTATTAACTATGTTTTCACACCATTTCATCTCCATGCCACAAATGCAAAGCCATTGAAAAAAGGTCACACAGAGTTTTTGTTTTTGCATTAACTGATGTTTGAAAATAGCAACCAGTAACTAATGTGAAATTAACCTTTTCCAGATATAGCTGGAATATTGTGTTGGAGCTACTTTGCCCTAGCACTAATTTAATCTGTAAATTAAACTATATGATTAAGTTCATGTATAGACACTAAGATATGCATATCTACAGTATATCTGCCATTACAAACTGAATGTGACTGATGAGCTATTGCATATGTTGAATATGATCTCTATCTCAAGTGAGCTTCATATTTGCCTTTTAGAAGAGCACAAACAAAAATAAATACGAAATTATTTGTGTACATTTTAAGAGAACATGTACTTTTATACATTTTTATGTGCCCTGTATATAAACCCTATTTCTATTCCTTCTGCTAATGTCAGATTCATGATTTTTTAAAAATACTATTGTTGCATGAAAAATCATAGGCTTTTTATAAGATCTCAGTGTTACATATTTTGGTTTATGAGTAGATCTAAGATATAGGGAAGAAAATGTAAATTTACAACATTTATTTTCTTAACTAAAAATTCATCATGCATGCACATTCATACCATCACATCTTCCACCCACATACGAATCCCTTTTTAAAAAAGAATCATTTTAATTCTTTTGGGAGGAAAAAGTAAGTAAAATACCTGAAAACCTAGTATAGCCACTAGAAAGAACCATACAATACTAAAACAATTAGTAAACCAAGCCCAAAAGAAAAGAAAAATTGATCCTTACTAGAATTGAACTTTTAGAAATATATAGCCAAAGATTAGATATAAAAACTGCTATGCCCTTAGGCCAGTGGTGGCGAACCTATGGCACGCGTGCCAGAGGTGGCACTCAGAGTCCTCTCTGTGGGCACATGTGCCATGCCCCGGAAATGGCAACTGTCCCTCTTCAACCAGCCGTCCGCTAACTCACTGAGGTCCCATGTGGCCGGATGCATCCCAGCATGGGTGGTTTCCCTCTCCCCCTCCCATCCCTCCTGGCCTCACATACTCTCCTTTTCCCGGGCACGACCCACTACATCGCTTCCTCACCTGTCGGCCAGCTGTCCAGCTCAGAGGCAGCTTCTCTGAACTGCTGGTGGCGGGCTGCGGAGCCCCAGAGTGCGCTGCTGATGGACACTGTCGGCCACCATGTGCTCGCTGGCCTCTGTGTGTGGGGGCCGATGGTGTCAAGCAGCAGCCGCCCCGGCCCCAGCCTCGCCTTGCCCTGCGACAATGGCACCCCTTCCCTGCCTTGCTTTGCCTTGCCTCACCCTGCAGGACGAGTCTCCTGCCCACCACCCCACCTGCCAGAGACCCCCTGGATCTCCCCCAACCCTGCCCGACCCCCATAGGTGTCCCTCCCCACAAGCAACATCGAGGTGACCATGCCCACCTTGGCCACACCCACCCAGTCTGCCATAACCACCACAGCCACGCCCACCTGGCACCCAGCGATAAATAAGTGGGTTTTGGGTTGCAGTCTGCGTACTCGGTCTCTAAAAGGTTCGCCATCACTGCCTTAGGCCATATTGTAAAGATTTGCTTTTTTAAAGTAGGCTTTGTTTTGGAAGAAGGAATGGCACTGGTACCTCCTAAGCTTTGGCACCCTAGGCAGTGCCAACTCAAACCTAAAGATGGCTCTGCTGCCATGCACAGTAAACTATAGAATGATGTATATTTTTGAAAATTCATATATTCCACTTAAGTCTCTCATTCCCATGTACGCAAGCCTACTCTTCCCTCTCATTTTAAAATTGTGCTGAAAAGATTTTTACTTCTCTGAATTGCTCTCGAATGTAATCACTCAATGTTTTTGAAAGAAGGGCCTTTCAAGTACATTGAAATGACAACTTTAGAAAAGTTCACAATTTCCTAGACTGATCTAACTTTTAAATGAACCAAGTTAAAATATTTGAGGATAAAACTTTGTGCAATTTTACAGAGAGGGATTGACTGAAATTTAGTTTATAAGATTTCTTAATTTTATTCTTTATTTTTCAATTAATGTGGTACTTTTTTAGTGCTAATAACATAAGCATATCTTTGAAACAATTCCATTTTAACATGACTGATTAATATATTTGTCATTTAGGATTATCTCAGGCTGACATACTGTATAAAGAATATAGTCCTTGTTGAAATGTAGTTTATTTACTCCTGCCTGTTTTTACTGCCACTTAAATTTTGAAATCTAGGAAGAGTCAAATTTCCTTAAAGTAGTTGGGATATCATATAATTATGCCATACTATTTCAATGAATTTGATGTTTTTCAAACTTCTGTTTAAAGAGAGACCTTCCCAATGCCTTAAGTTCAGTTACAAAAACATACCGACTAATTTTTTTACACTGAGGAATTGACTAGAGCTGTGAAAATCCTTCAAGAGAGGTGTTTCAGAATGTATACAAGCATTTTCAATGCATCTCTTTGAATAGTTAAAGCAATCAATTTATTTTCCAAATTAATGCAGCTGTTTCATGAGAGCTGTTCCTGGTTGTCTCCTCATGTGTGTGTGTGTACACAACTGTTTCACTGGGGGAAAAAAACTATTTATTTAGAAGGATTTTAAACTTTTGCCCTGACTTTTCTGCCCAAGTTTCCCCAGGCAGAAACTGAGCAGACCAGCTTTGTAGAAATGCAGATTTGATAATCCTATTCAGAAAGACTGGGCCACCTATTCATAAGCAAAATGCCTTCAGCCACAGCCCCAGAGAAGCAGAACATGACCTTTAGGATATAATAGGATTAACAACCTCAAACAGGAACAACTCCAAACACAAAACCCCCAAAAGGTATAAAAACCCACCCACTCCCACTTCCATTTTGTTAGCCATCCCAGAAACGTGCTGTGTCACTGAAGTTTCTGGCAACTCAATAAACAGAACCTTCTTTCCAAACAGCCTCCATTTTGTTTATTTCCGGCTTGGACTGGACTCAAGACTTCAATAGGATGTGCAGCAAATCAAAACCTTCTCTGAAAAGTTGTTTTAAATTATCATACTAAATACAAAGGTAAGATACAAAAGTCCTAGATAAATGTGTTGAAACAATAACCTTCAGCACCAGGAAAATCTCCTGGAGCATAATCCAAAACTGGGTCATTACAACAGAGGAAATATGTTGTAATTTCAATACAAAACCTGAGGAAGAGGACATAGGGCAGCCTCCAAAGAGAATTATCTCTCCTCTTATGTTTTGATTGGAGACCACTAGGGAGTACCAATGGTATAGATTAGAACAGGAAGTTGAAAAGCATCCCAGAGGAAAGCAATTTTAAATCACTTCTGCACTGTTGCCAAGAAAATTGCATGGCTGTGTCCATGAAGTCATCAGAGAGCAAGTTTATTCTGATGGGAAAATGGTCTTTTGTGGCAGTGTTTCTTATCTCTGCAACTTTAAGATCTATGGGATTAAACTCCCTCAGCCAGTATGCTGTCTTGGGAATTCAGAGA